GAGCAGGAATTATGATATAACAAAATATCATTGATGAAAAAACAGGCATACACTCATATAATGCGGTCTGGATTTAAATATTAACCAACTATACCATCATAGTTATCACTGCAGCAAGAAAGAAAAAAAACATTTTTATTGTTCATATTGTTTTCCATCCTATTTTTGCGTTTCAACACATTTTATGACCATTAATGTTACACCTACGATATGATATTAATTTTTTTTATAAATTATTATTTTTAACTATTTAACACGTTTTGTAATGATGAAACAAAATATTGGTGATGTAACTTGAAGCCGATCAATATTTACATTTAAAAAGAATTTTAAACAAAGAATGAAACTCAATTCGGGGATGGTGACTAGCAGTGGAATCCAGGATGCACATTTCGTCCCATTTGGGACTCGTCAGCTAGCTGGATGTACCTGCATTCCCCAGTAAGTGATGATGTTCCCACCGAGGCTCGAACCCAGTGCCTATAGTTTCAAGAGGTGGCCACTCTCGTGCCCCAAGTGGTCAAGTGGATAACGCTTTGGCGTTTGAAACTATTGGTAGTGGGTTTGAGCCTCGGTGGGAACATCATCACTCACTGAGAAATGCAGATACATCCAGATGACGAGTCCCAAATAGGACGAAATGCGCATCCTGACTGGATTCCACTGATAGTCACCATCCACCAATTGACTTCAAGTTACATGACCAGATATCGTCAAAGCATCTGCACAAGAAGCCGACATGTCAACCTGAGACCGAGCACTTCGGTCCAATCAATCGACAAGAAAAAACTAAATTTCAATTAAAACAATGAAACTGTTATTTGATGTGACTAACAGTGTGGAATACAGAATGTTTAGTCTAGTCGTATTTGTTTGGGACCCGTCAGCTGGATGTATACCTGCAAACTTCACCACCCATCCACCCACCCCAAGTGGGTGATACTATTGTAACGGGAGAAGATAAGATACTTTTCAACAGACGTCTTATATTAAGGAAAAACACATCACATTTATAGATTCTTAGCCATACTAGGTGGTATAATAAAGTGAGTAATATTGAGGTCAGGCATCACATCAGTCGAGTGCTAGGGAAAGAGGGAAAAATCAATCGACGAGGTTGTGAAGCAGATGCATCAATTCAAATGGTTAGGACGCGTGTTACACATTGGAAAACCACCAGGCAGTACTGGATAGCTGTTTCGTCAGACTTGTTTAGGACCCTTCATCAGTATCCACCTCTGGCGCTGGATGTGTACTGCTGAAGAGTCCCAAACTAGTCTGACGAAACAGCTGTCCAGTACTCTTAGGTGGTTTTCCAATCGGGTTCTGTAACCGACATGTCAGCTCATGATGAAATCCTGCAACGAATCAAATCGAAACCCTACAAGTCAACACTTAAATATATTTTTCTCATATCGTATGTTGTATATAATTTGGTTATTTGTTTCTATTACAGAACTGTCATGCATACACACGCATACACTTTATAGTAGGTTTTGTTCCGATAATTTTATTGTTTCTGTGTGTGTATGTGTGTGCGTGTATGTGTGACTAACTTGTCTGTTACACAATTTACAGTCAATTACACAATCTACAAAATGTTTTCCCTGTAAAGGTCACGTCTTTATCGCTTTTGTGATGGGATAACTTTCTTAAATTTGTAATAGATCCACTGAGCGTTATTCAGTTAGTTAGTTGTCTCACTTTAATTCTTCTTTTATTACTGTTATTATTATTATTATTATCCTATTAACTTATATTATGACCTGTCTAGACATTTACGGGAGTTGTTATGAGAGGTGTTCAAAGAGGAGAGAACTAAGCTATAAAACATGATTTATTAATCATAAAAACAAAAATTGTTGCCGTAATAAAAAAAAGTCAAAAATAAAGAGGAGAGGGAGGGAAATCGTTAGTTAGTTAGTTAGTCAGTCAGTGTCCAATCAAAAATATCCAATTCAGTCCTACAGGAGGTCAATCGTGAGCCCGAATAGCTTAGTGGTAACGTCTCTGACTGCAGCTCTCACTGGGTGACGCGGGTTTGAATCTCAGAAGGGAGGGACATGAGTTCCTTCAAGGTGATTGCAGATACGCCTTGCTGACTGACTGACTGGTGAGTGCCAACTAGCACGAAACCTAGGTCAGACAAGGCTTCCTGTGGCCGATTGCCTCCAACCATCTAATACCAACAATTCACAGTGCACCGTAATGTCAAGCCACCTAGTGGTATGGTGGCTGGCTACATTGCAAGCTTGACTGATAGAATTCAGTCTGCACCGAAGATAGGACTAGACATATTACACTAGTTACTGACTAGTGTCCAATCAAAAATTTATTTCGCTTGTTTGATCCTCATTCTCCGGGACTGTTTAAAACTTGGGCTAAAGAGAGCCTTCATCAATATATTGTTGCGTGCTATCTTTTGTGTAGAAATCACATGTCGTTGTGTAAATACCCGAAGGGGAAAAAGAAGAGATATCGTAATGGATTGGTTTGAGCTTGAGGTTAGATAGCAGTGTGTCACACTATCTACTGTCAATTAGTCTTCTATTTGAAGATCCTCGACGAAGAGAAAATATCACTGTAGTAAACTCTGCTGAAAATTCTGTACATTACATGAACGTTATTCATAATAAAGCTATTATTACGCTTATTAGTCAAATTCCCGACAAACTTAAACATCGGAATATTACAATTTTATGAAACAACGGAAAACTCAGTGAGGCGTTTGGAGTAAACACAGGAGTCAGACAAGGGTGCTTATTATCACCAATGATATTCCTAATTGTGGTGCACGACTGGATTATGCGTCAGACAGTGGGAAACGAGAAGACAGGGATATCCTGGACCGACGTGAAGAATCTAGAAGACCTAGATTTCGCGCGTGGATGATTTATGTTTGATGTCACACAAAATCGAAGACTTACAAGCGAAAACTGACAAACTGGTCGAAGAAGCAGTCAGTGAAGACAGGACTCCAGGTGAACATAGACAAGACGGAGGTTATGAAAATAACCAACCAACCAAACAACAACAGCAGCAACATCCAGCGCCAATCACCATCAACGGAAGGGATTTGAAAGAGGTTACTTCATTCACTTATCTAGGGAGCATTGTCTCAACTACAGGAGGAACGGACGAGGATGTCAAATCGAGAATCGGGAAGGCGAGAAACACATTCATCAACCTGAAACCAATCTGGAAATCTTCGTCACTCAGCCTGCATCAACAACAAAATTCGGATTTTCAATACAAACGTCAAGTCAGTCAGTTCTTCTATACGGATCAGAAACTTGGCGGGTGTGTCACAAAGAATATTTCCAACAGCCTGTTGCAGACCTTTATCAACAACTGTATTCGCTCTATACACTGAAGATCAGATGGCCGGAAAGAATAACCAACAAGAAACTATGGGAACAAACAAAACAAGAACCAATCGCCCAACAAATATGCAGGAGAAAGTGGAGATGGATTGGACACTCTCTCGCTGAGGAGGCCGCTGGGTGACATCGCGCGTCAGGCCAACGCTCGAGTGGAACCTGAAATGGAAGCGGCGAGTGGTACGTCCAAGGGTGACATGGAGGAGATCGTGTGAAGAGGAGTTGAAACAGTATGGATTAACATGGATGCAAGTGAAAAGTACAGCAGAAGACAGAAGCAAGTGGAGACGTGCAGTTGAAGCCCTATGTTCCACTAGGAACCCAAGGGAACAATAATAGTAATAATAATGAAACAATCCAATCAAAATACTACAAAACAGAATTTATAGGTATAAATATTTACCTGACAAATTTGGTTCTTGTACGACCTAATCTCGGTGGTAGTTCAGGTTGTGGTGCAGTACGTGGTCGTCGACAGGACAGATTTCTATCTGAATTTATAGAAGTGGCTGTTTTCATTTGATGATTTTGATGCTGACGATGGTCATGATGATGATGGTGATGTGGAAGGTGAGGACGATGATGATACTGGTGCTGCTGCTGAGGAGGAGGAAGAGGAAGGGGATGATGAAAGTCATTCAATCGGCTATTGGATGAATCCAATCTACAACTTTCTATACTATCAATAGAACTGGTTCTTGAAGTTACTGTTGTATTATATGAAGTACTTGGATCACAACATGTACTGCAACCACCACTAGCACCACCACCACTACCAGTAGAGCTTTCAATTTCTCTTCTAGACACTGGGATAATATCTTGTGTAATTGAGGATAATTCTGTAGAATCAAACGTATTTGGATGGATAATAGTGCGTAAATGAGATAAATTGTTGGCCTGTTGTTGCTGGTGGTGGTGTGGTGTGACTTTGTTCATGACGAATTGGTTGAGGAATAATTAAACGTGTATTGGATACAAATTCATTATTATTATTATTTAATAATAATAATTTCTCTGAGAATTTAGATAATTCTGGTGAATTTTCATTACTTTTTGCTGTATTCGATGATGAGGATGTTGTTGATAGTGACGTTGATGAATGCTTTTTATTTTTTGTATAAGATTGTCGAATTGATTGACGATAATTTCGATAGTTTTCAATCCAAAATTCAGCCTGTAGAGAAGAAATGAAGGAAGTCAGTTTACAAGGTTCATTTGAAAGAAAAATATTCATGAGTTGATCACGGATTGAAATCAGCTAGAGAACCATTGAAAACCAGGGAGTACTGGATAGCTGCTGTTTCATCCTAGTTTGGGAATCATTGGCAGTACGCACCCACTGGGGTTCGAACCCAGGACCTTCCGGTTACAAGGCAAGCTCGCATACCATTCAGCCACTGGGACCCGGTTCAATGGCTCATGAATTCTACCACCAGAAGGTCCTGTGTTCGAACCCCAGTAGGTGGGCACTTCCAATGATTCCCAAGCTAGGATGAAACAGCTGTCCAGTACTCCATGGTTTTCTAATGGTTCTCTAGCTGATTTCAATCCGTGATCAACTAGTGAAAGAAAACTAACCCTTACAAGCCAAACTATAGAAAAAAATATTCTTCTTCACAACATTGGTTGACTGTGTTAGAACACACACGCCAACCAGCCATCTGGTTTGGAGTTCGATTCCTGGATGGCGTACTCACAAACCTTACCTATAGTCGGTAAGTAGTAAGACCAGCAAAAAGAGAGAAGATTGAGCGTAGGATTAGCTCCTTCACTAAGCCTGGAATATGACGAGATTGTGAATAGAACGGTAAGATTGATGTTAACGAGGCGACTTTCAAAGTCATTTACCGCGCATACTAACCAACTAATCTTAACTTCGCCTTAAGAGTTCGTTTACTAAATATTGCTGAGGCTGGCTGTTGGGATCCACATTAAGAAGCCTAACTTGTGTGTCCAAAAAAAGCTAGTTCAGACATTGTCCTTACCCCGCTGGTCATTTAGGTTCGCATGATCCTTAGTTTTTTGTAGAAATCTCCTAATTTTAGTTGATATTCTATTTGTTATTATTTTATCATTATTATAATTTAAGCATCTTTAATGAACTGTGGTGATTCCATTGTGATCTTATTTTACAAATCGATATTATTTTAAAAAACACTAATATTGTTATTGACTACTAATCTAGAATATTCTATGTTCATAAACATATCTATGTATGTAATTGTAGAGCGAGAAGAGGAAATTATCGAAAGGGGTATGTTTTTGCTCAATTATTTTGTGTTTTATACAACGGTAAGAGGCAGTCAGGAATGTAAAGCATAAACAGCAGATGGACGCCGCGAAATTTGAGCACAGAGAAAAGATGGAATGCATAACTTTAGCAGTCGGAGATCAAGTAAAGTGCAGTGAAAAAGAAATATACAGTTGGATGCAGTCCAAGCTCACGAAAACTGCTTATACAAATTGGGAAGGATTATACACTGTCACTGAGAGACGTGGTTCTGTTTATGCCATAAGAAGAGGATACAAGGCGAAACGTGTTATCGCCAACCAAACCCAGAGATGGATGCAGTGGGAAGAGTCAGCCGATAGCAAAACGCAACAATAGTGGGTAGCACCAAGAAGGTCGGAGCGGCTCCGCTCGAAACTATTTGACGGGGGAACCAGTGTGGAGTGTGCTACTACTGACAAGAATTATCAGTAGTATATAGACACAGATTTTTTTTCAGAAAACAGCAGAAATTGGAAACAACATTTTAAGACCGGCTACAGAAGTGGATCTAGCTCACGTTGCAGTCAAGAAATAACCTCAAAGTGTAATATCTTCGGAAAATCAATAACCAATCACAACAGTTTATTATCTGCTGACCTGGCCAATCATGAATGTGGCTAAAAATGTATAAATATAGTGTCATTTAGCTCAATAAAAGAAGTCCGTTATCAAGTCTCGTGTCTTATCCCGTAAAAGAACAACATATCCACCGGAACTTCAGAGCTGAAGCTTGAGGCCCTGTGTTCCCATGGGAACACGCAGAGGAACTGAATAAATAGATTCATATTTGTGATTACCGGCTGATATGTCTGCGACGAATTAATCAGTTTCATTTTAGCATATACTAGCGCTTTGAACGAGTGCAAGTCACTCCATTGCTAGGCTACGACAGATGTTACGCACGCATACCTACCTAGCTATCGCCTTCCTCGACGACGGACAATCTTAGCTGACTGACATAGGATTGATCAGGTTGGAAAAGAGAGCTAGTACGTGGTGGTCAGACCAAAACATGGCTTCATCAGTCAATCAAATCCATAACAGTTAGCCAGTCAGCCAGCGACTAAGGAAGGTGTAGACTGGCTGGCTTCCTGACTGACTGGTTGGGGTCCTCGGGATGATGGTAAGAACCAATGACGGCTGGAGACAATTAGTGGTGATATGGCTGGCTCGAAATCCTCGTTGTCAATGGCTGGCACAGATGCATTCGCTCTTTGTGATTTACCAGTCATGTTCGATGAAGCTCTATTGTTCTTCCATATGACTGCTATTCTTTTTCCCTCACTTACACTTCTGTTTATCTGTCTTTTGAATATCTTTTTACTATCTTCTCTTGCTGTATGTGCTACATGGAGTGGAGTGTAGCAGTTCGAAGTGTTACACATCTATGCAAAGTTCTATGTTGAAATCAGTTAGTCAGTCCATCAGACCCACGCGCCTAGCTAGTCCTTTTCCATTAGGGTTTCACTTGTGTAGGGTGATTTTTTGTCCGTGTGCAGTCCTGATGTCTGTCTTTATTTCCAACCGACAAAAATAATGGTTATCTGATGTTCAAATTTTAAAACAAACCAGCGAAAGTGACTTCTAAGTAATTTTCTTTTCATTTCCTTACATTCCCAATGGAACATAGGACACCTTCAAGCTACAGGCCTGAAGTTTCGGTAGCAGTGGTGTTTATTTTTACGGATGGGGTTACTAGCCTCATGTCCAACCTTCCCTCTTAACCAATCATATTACTGGCTTAGTGAGGTAAATGAGTGAGTTGGTGACCGGGAATCGAACCCCAGACTACACGTGTGGTTGGTGAACATTTTACCGCTGTGCCACCAAAGCACACTCCTAAGTAATGAGTATGTTTAACAGTATATTTCCAGAATTTTCGCATCAACTAACACATTCTTTGACTTCGGTTAGGCAGCTAGCTCTGTGTCAGTGATACTCCTGTTTATACTACAATTAAATAGTTTAACAAAGTGTCGAATTGGACAGTGCCATTTATACAGATAATCTATGAAGTGGTTTAAGTTAGAGAACCATTATAAATCAGTTGAAATTACTGGACACCTGTTGTTTCGTCCTAGTTTGGGACTCTTCACAGGCATGCATCCATTACCCTACCAAGGATACAGCCGTGAATCTCTCAGTTCACAAGACCATTCAGCTACTGGGACGGAATCCATTCATCCATCAACTCTAACTACTTCTGTCCATTGGCGATATAGATCGAAAAGGAAATCAATTCGTGATCAATCTTGAAATCAATCAAATCCCCCCGCCCTTGCGGAAACCAACACTTGAAAATTAATCTAGTGCTCACTAGTGTGACTGACTACAAATTGAAGTTGTCTCAAGCTCTGGTGAGAAGTCGTGACCAGTGAGGTTCAACCAGTCAGTTGTGAGGATGGAGTTCCCACTGATGACATTGGTTGGTGGTCGCACTAAATATATGACGAATTGATAGAAGTTAGAATTCATGGGTCGGCCATTGGATCGGGTCCCAGTGGCTGCTCAATGGTCTACGAGCTCGCTGGCCTTGTAACCAGAAGGTCCTGGTCACGTGCGTGGTGCGACTTGAGAGTCAAACTAGGACGAACAGTTGTTCAGTACTCCCAGGTTTTCCAGCGGTTCTCTAACTGATGTCAGCTCAACTTAGAAGGCCATTGAAAACCAGCACTGAAGTACTGGACAGCTGCTGTTTCATCCTAGTTTGAGACTCATTGGGAGTACGCAACCACTGCCAGGGTTCGAACCTAGTACCTTCCGGTACAAAGCTCATAACATACAGCACTGGACTCGACTGAATGGCCAGCCAGACCATGAATATTCTCACTTCTATCAATTCGTCATATATTAGCGCGACCACCAACCAATTATCGGGATACTCACTCCTGACTAGATGCTCGCTAGTGACTTGCTGGAGGACGGAGATTCCTAGAGTTCTAGTGAGTGAGAAGTCGTGCCCAGTGAAGTCCAGTGATCGCACTAAAAATGTAGAATTCGTAGAATTTATAGTTCCTTGGTTGCCCATTGAATCGGGTCCCAGTGGCTGAATGTTCTACAATCTGCTGGGTTCGAACCCTGGTGTTGGGTGCGTCCTGCTGATGAATCTAAAACTAGGCTGGTGAAACAGCTGCCCAGTACTCCCTCCGCTGGTTTTCAATGATTCTCTAACTGATATCAATCCGTGGTCAAACTCGATAAACAAATCAACTTACTTTAGAACTTGGCAATGGTATTACCATTAAGTGTATATCATCACTAGGTATTTTAAGGATATGTAACATAACAAATAATAAATGAATACATGGTTCTTTCATCGCCATCATCGTCGTGGTCGTCATTAATCCTGATTCAGGCATCAATTCATTTTGACAATTACATATTTGTGGTCCAATAACAACACGATAACGTTGACGTAGAACAACACCTTGCTGGTGTTGAGTGTTGGTTCTCGTCGATGTTGACGACAGTTATGTTTTAGTGTTGATTGTAATTCATGTATATTATTACAAGAACAATGATTGATCAAAGATGATGCTGTTGTAGTAGTGGGTTCCACTATTTTTTCTTGATCAGTTTCTTTTATCTCATGATCCCCAGGAATGTGATCAGATTTTTGTATAATAATGAAGGAATTTGGTGCTGGTTGATAGAGTAGTATAAAATTAGCATTTAAAGCTTGTTTTATTATTTTTTGTTTATATCTATTAGATAAACAAGCCTTATTCATTGGTGAAATGAAGATTGACTAACTGACTGTCTGACTGTCTGACTAGGTGGATGGATGGTTGGAGTACAAGGGATGCAGTGGTAAAGGGGAGGGGATGGAGGTGGCAGCGACTGTCAATTATTAAATTTTTCTTTTCACTTTTGAGTAATCACTTCCAATTTTCGTCGGGCGGAGGGGGTGGGGTTATGTTGTCTTGAGTAATTTCCATAGAAAGGGTGGTTTGTGTTATTTAACATTTATTTTTCGTCATGATTTCATTGATAAAAAACTTGTGACATAATGATGGATAATATAAATCTGAAATTTTAGAAAAAATATTGAAGAAAACAAAAAACGAGAATTATTTAAAAGTACTTTCGATTCAGTGCACTAAATTATTGAAAATAATTAAGAGAAACAAAATAGGCCACGTCTCTTCGGTTTGTTGAGAAGCTATCACAATCACAGGCTGACTGACTGACTGAATGGATTCGACGTAGAACTTTGCACAGGTGTGCAACACTTCAAATTGCCACACTCCCTCCATGTAGCACACAAAGCAAGGGAAGAGACTAAAGAGAGATTCACCAAAATAGAGATGATAAACAGAAGCGTGAGTGACGGAAAAAGAATGGTAATATGGAAGAACAATTGAGGGGTTTTATTGGATATGACTGGCAATTCATAAAGAGTGAATGCATCCGCGCCAGTCATTGAAAACGAAGATTTTGAGCCAGTCATATCACCAATTAACAGTCTCCAGTCTTCATTGGTTTTTAGCATCTTGAGGATTCCAACCAGTCAGTCAGGCAGTCTACGCCACCCTATTTGGCTTAAACTAACTATTGTGGATTTCATTGACTCATGTGCCATGTTTCGGTTTGACCACCACTAGCTCTTTTCCAATCTGATCCTATGTCAGATAACATTGTCTGTCGAGGAAGGTGATGGCTAACGATGCATGCGTAACACATGTCCAAACCATCTCAATCGGTGTAACTTCACAACCTCATCAATTGATTTCCCCTCATTATCCAACACTAGACCAATGCCCAAGCTCACTATTGCTTAACTTTTTATACCACCTAACACAATAAAACGGCTGAAACCTTATCTATCTGTTCAAAGGGAAAACATACATATATACAGATGTCAAGTGATATCACTAAACAAGCCATCGCTCGAGTGGAACCCGAACAGGAAGCGGTGAGTTGGCCGTCAGTGCAAGGGTTACATGGAGGAGGAGGAGGTCATGTGAAGAGGAGATGAAAGCATGTGGGTAGACGTGGAGCCAGGAGATGAAAACGTTGGTAGAGAACCGAACGCAATGGAGACGTGTGGCTGAATCCCTGGGTTTCAATGGCTCATGAATTCTAACTTATACCAATTCATGACTATTATTATTATTGCCACTATTATTAGCAATATAATTTGGTTCGAAAATCTTGATATATATTCAAGTTCTTTCACTCACTAATAACTAACTAACTGTTTAATTAAGTGATATAATTGAACTGTAATGCATTTTATCTTAATTTTATATCTCTCGTTCTATGTAGAGTATCCATACAGATGAGGAAGAGCAGTTCTACCGAAATTTGATGAATTCATTATATTCAGCTTTATTAACCACATTTGTTGCTTGTTTTAAATTTTGTACCGGGAAATAAATGTCTCCAGAAACCAGAACATTGAAGTAACTTTACCAAAACACTTAAATTTCATAAAACAGAAACATCCCATCTGAAGTGGTTTCATTATCACCACCTGTTCAGAAAGATTAAGTGTATCAGATGATAAGACAAGTAAAGGTTTTAGGGAATAAAATACCCTATTTTACTAATACTACTACTACTACTTTTAAAAAATTAATTTACCGCCTAGTACACACATTCTCACACTTCAAAAGACAGACGGGAACATAAAGGAAAACGAATAGAAGGTAATTCATAAAACAGCATACATTAAAGGTATAAAAATAAAACACCACCACCACCATCACAAAGAAAAGGTGAGACATTAACAACCGAAATTTGCTATTGACATTAACACATAACGATTGACCACTACTACTACTAAGATACCTACCTACCTACTTTACTATAAAGGAGAGTTATTATTTTAACAGAAGTCTAGGCGAATTGTATAAAAAAAATAATAAAACCTAGTGGCAAGTGTATGTGCGCATGTGTTTGTCAAGGTATTCAAAATAGCCGCAACTTTAAAAATCACACCGATATAATGAAGAATAAAAGTCAAGAATGTGTAACCAGAAAATTAGAAAAAACCTGAGCTTATTCACTGTTTAGCTGGTTAGTTTCAGCATAGAATTTTGCACAGAAGTGTACAGCAGTTCTTACGTCGGTGGCACAGAGGTAGAATGCTCGCCGACCACACTTCATGTGGTTCGGGGTTTGATCCACGGTCAGTGATGCACTCCTTTACCTCTATAAGCCAGTAATAAGACTCGTAAAGAGGGAAGGTTGGGTATGAGGCTAGCAACCTTATCCCGTAAAAATAAATACCAACCACTGCTACGGAAACTTCAAGCTGGCTCTAGCTTGAAGGTGCCCTATATTCCACTGGGAAGGATAAAAAATATGAAAAGACAGTGCACAAGGCTGTGTGGAGGTCAACAGCACTCAGCATCAAAAATAAGATCCGGATTTTCAACTCCAATATGAAGTCAGTGCTACTTTATGGATCAGAGACTTGGCGCGTCATGAAGAGCACTTCGAACAAACTACAGACTTTCATCAACAGCTGTCTTCGCTCAATACTCAAGATCAGATGGCCAGAAAAAGATCAGCAACAGGGAGGGTCTCTGGCAATGAAACCAACCAACCAGGAACCAACTGTGCAACAAATATGCAGGAAGAAATGGAGGTGGATTGGCCATACTCTGAGAAAACCATAAGTGACATCATACGCCAGGCCATCGCTCGAGTGGAACCCGAATGGGAAGCAGCGAGTTGGTCGTCAGTGCGAGGGTGACATGGAGGAGATCAAGAGAAGAGGAAATGGAAGCACCTGGACAGACGTGGAACCAGGCGATGAAAACGTTGGCAGAGAACTGAACGCAATGGAGAGGTGCACCTGAATCCCTATGTTCCTCTAGAAATGAAAGACAACAATAATAATAATGTAATGAGACGTTCATTAGCACCAAAACACCAAATAGCAGAGAGATGGATCTGACGTTACAAGAGGAGAGGAAATGATGAACCAGTACTGTGACAAAACATGAGGGACACGAAAAGAAGACTAAGAAAGACAATACTACGGGTAGAAGTAGTGCACAACACTGAATATCTGTGAAGTAAATGACAATTTTAATGTATGGCGGTGAAATAGTGACTGAAGCGGAATCGGAAACTTGCTTCCCTGAAGAACTTTTATCAGAACCCTGTGTAACTGAGCTACGAAATTAGCTGCTAACCTTATTATTATTTAAACGCAGAAAAACTTGGTGAAATATGGCATCAAGACGAAGCGTCGCATAACAATAATAATAAAACAACATAGATTAAAAGTTAAAAATATAAGTAGAGAATGGATAAAGAACTTCATCTGGAAGGAAAACAGTCATACCTAACAAGTTCAAACAGTATTTGTCAACTATCATCGGGAAGGGAAGAAAGAAGGAAATTGCAGCACGTTCGCCATTGATTACGATTCTTGGCCTTATCCGATAACGTTTCGAGCCATCGATTCGAACTATCTCTAGGACTCTTGTCGAGCGAGTTATATTGGCTGTTGCTCTAGGAACTTGATTTTTCGTGCTCGCTCGAGAACATCTCCCAGTATGGCTAAGTAAAGGTGTGGTGAAAACCATCATCAACAGTTCGATATTAGACCATCTGGTCCAAAGCGGCCAGCCGGAAAACCAGCATTGAATAATCCTTCTCTATCATCTATCGGGTACCAAATAAATTGCCAAAAACATCGAGGTACCGCATACTCCAAACAGGAGAGGCAATCGCAATTCGCTTCAAACAACCAGTACTCTGTGTTCAAAAGAAGCAAGTCCAGCTCCTATTACTGCCCTGGCTGACCTTTAGTAGAGACTAGAAATTCATAAGTTCGTATTATTATCTTTCCTAATATTTCTGACATTCAGTTTATTGTTTTGTTGATGCTGTTGAACTGTAATCCAGTGATATTATCATTGATTCGATGTTATTTAAACAACATTAATGTTGTTCATAACACTAAGTGATTCATTCATTCACTATTATGGATGTATATATAACTGTAGAGCCTGATGATGAACGGGTTATCGAAAAGAGTACTCTTTGTTCATTATCCATTCCTTTGAAAATTTTAATGGGCATTTTTATTCAGCTAAAATGATTCATTCAACAAACATGGTGTCAATAATTATCAAGCTTTTGCTGTCCACTCACTAGTTGCTACTCAGCACGATAAAACCTGACCTACTAACCACTGTGATGCTGGCAATGATGATGGTGATGATGAACGAACAGTTGTGTGTAAATCATCCACCTGATGGATAATACAAACCAGAGTTTGACTAAAGTGAAACTGGCAAAGTTTAAAATGAATATCAATCCAATGGGAATGACTGTGTCAATATCTTTCAAACGACCAATAGCATTAATCTAGGTGATTTGTGTGGAAGATGGGAATTAGAATTAAGCATCCATAATAATAGAGAAAGGCATAATGTTTAATATTTTCGCCCTTTTTCAGTATTTCATTGAGAATATGGTGTTGTTGATTTTTTTTTACCTAGTCCCACTATCTTGATGTGATTGCACATTTTTAAGTGGTCAGTGTGCGGCCGTTTCCTTTGGATTGCTATTTTGTAAGTATGATATATGCTTCGCGCCGTCTAAGCGTAAAGCACTATTGCAAAATTGGCAGGAGCCTGTACCTGCACTCACTCTAGCAGGTGAACCGCTTGAAGTTGTTGATAAGTTTGTGTATCTCGGTAGTTGTGTGAGTGCTGGCGGAGGGGTGACGGATGAGATTTCCAACCGTATCATGAAGGCTAGGGTGGCATACATCAACTTGAGCCACCTCTGGTGCCGTCGCGACGTTAGCCTAGCTGTCAAAGGTC